TCTGTAAATGGAAAGAAAGCTTCTGTTTATTTTTGTGTTGTCCACAAGCACTCCTAGACAGCAGAACTGAAAATCAGCTCCCAGTCCCACTTAGTTGAAAGCCTCAAGTCACAAGTCAGAAAAGTGTGGGTCTTTGGCCGCATTATCACTGTGTAGCAAAGAGCTGAACCTGAACCGCAGCAGAATTTGCTTACGCACTAGGGAGAGACAGACTGCTGAGTTGGTAGAAAAGAAAGCAAAACAAAGCAACCACTCTCATTTATTAGAATGTCTAACTTCATTGAGATCTCATTAAGGACCAAGCTAACATTTTGCCAATTTGTGTAGTCACATTAGGCTCTTCAGAGCACAACTAGATTATTAAAACTGGGAGTCAGCCAAGCACTTTGTTTTTGTTTTGTTTTGTTCTCTCTTTCCCTCGTTGATCATACGTACTTTGGTCACTTCAAGCCCAGGAGCTCTGATGGCTTAGTGGTAAGGAACTGTGCAGTCATTGAAAAGGTACACCTGAAGGCAAGATGACTGGGAGCTGCTAAGGACTTCTGGGGGCTGCTTGGGGCAGTGGTTAGGACTGATGCCTCAGGCTGCCTACCAGCTCAGATGTGCCTTCATATCAGTCTTCTCGTGGCCTTGCTTTTTTGAGCTGTAATGCAGAGAGCTTGCTTCCCTCCCTTGGCCTGAGGTCTTGAGATCTACTTACCCAGCCACAGCCTAGAATAGGGGTGCAGGGGCCTGGTTTTAATTGTTTTTGGTCAAACATTCTTCTAGGTCGTATAGCCCTGGTCTATCCACTTGCTGTACAGAGGTAACTTGTGGTTGCTGTGATGCTGAACACTGTGACACTGAACACTGTGACTCTGATGTGTTAAATGCAATAATGGTTATGCATGGTGGACAATATTTGGTGGAGCTCCCTGATTTAAATAGCTTGGAAGCCATTAACACTCGTAATGGCTACTAGGCAGTCAAGTGTCCAAACCTCTGGGAAATGTTCTAATCTGGAAAACAGTCACAACCCTGAACATAATGGCGGTGGGCGGAGGAAAGCAAGTGATAATAGTGAACCAAATAACTTGCTAAATGCCAGTTCATTTTTTTCCCTTGCAGAACTTTCTGTGGCTTCTGTTGCTAAACATTCTTAATGAGTACCTTAGGTCATCATAAAATAGTTGAAATGTTTTATAAACACAGAGATAATTTCCCAAGCTGGCACACTGATGTTTCTCTACGGGCATTGTCCCAACTACTCCCTGCTCTTTTGATTTGGGCAAGAGTGTGAGACAAAATACTTTTTTAAATTTTTTTTTATTTTATTATTTTTTGTGTGCGTGTACCGTCAAGTCAGATCTGACTGCTACAGGAGGAGATTGTTCCTCCTTCCCCGGCAGAGCATCTGGTGGATTCGAACCGTGCGCCTCTGGGATTGTAGTTGCAGCTCCTTGCCACTAGGCCACCAGAGCTCCCTTGAGCCAAAATACTTTAAAAAAAATACATACCCATAACTTTTTTGCTCAGATGAAACCTATACTTGGACCAGGAATCAGTCCTCAGAATAGAGCAAGGAAATACTGCATGGTTCAGAATCAGGAAACTAGTGTGTCAGAGATGCATCCTGTCTCCATAACTTTACAATCTATATGCAGAATAGAACAGATCATTCCAGAAGCTGGGCTTTATGAGGAGAAATGTGGCATCAGGATTGGAGGAAGACTCATCAACAACCTATGTTATGCAGATGACACCACTTTGCTTGCTGAAACTGAGGAGGACCTGAAGTGCTTGCTGCAGGTAAGTACTGCAGCCTTCAATATGGATTGAAGCTCAACATCAAGAAGACAAGATTTTCACCACTGGGCCAACTGTCAGCACCATGACAGATGAAGAAGAGTGAGGTTGTTAACAATTACAGCTTACTAAGCTCCATAATCAACACTCTTGGCACCAACATTCAGGAAGTCAAATGACAAATTGCACTGGGAAAATCTGCAGTCAGAAAACTCTCCAGAGTACTGAAAAGCAAAGATGTCAGTCTAGAGACTAATATGCTCCTGATCCAGGCCATGGTCTTCCCAATTACTTGCTGTGCATCAGAGAGCTGAATAATGACTAATGATGACAGAAGAAGAATTGATGCCTTTGAATTGTGGAGCTGGAGAAGAGTCTTGACCATACCATGGACCTTCCAAGAAAACAAATAGGTCTGTCTTGGAGAGGATGAGTCCAAGTTTTTACTTGGAGGGTAGGATTTTGAAGCTCTATCTCACATACTTTGGGCATATGGCCAGGAGGGACCAGTCCTTGGAGAAAGACATCATGCTCAGAAGGGTGGAGGGGCAGCACAGAGGAAGAAACCCCAAATGAGATGGATTGACACAGTGACTGGAACAATAGGTGTTGGTGTGCTGGAATCAATGAGACTGGTTCAGGACAGGGCAGGCTTCAGAGCTGCTGTACACAGGATTACTATGAGTCATAGGTGATGCGATGGCACATAACAACAACAACCTGTAACTTTTACTCCTTTTATAAAATCAGATGTGGTGGGGATTTTTTTTTTATTTTAAAAAGTGTCTTCAGAAAAAAAATAAATATACCTACAAAGCTATTGTTAGGTGGGGGTCAAGTTGAGGACAACTCATAGTGACTCTATGAAGAACAGACCTAAGTCTTGCCATATCCTGTGCCATCCTCATACATCAGTTACCAAAACAGCCTTGTAGTCCCACCTATGCCAGATAAATTCCAGGCATTGCTGTCCTTGAGAGTGTTCTGGTGGTAGCAAGCTGCAATGCTAATCCTAAGGCTGCAACTCTCAAGCAGTTCAAATCCACCAGCCACTCTGTGAAAGGAAGATGGGAGTCCCCTCCCACTGCTAATGACTGTCTCAGACACCTGATGGAGGGTTGCTAAAGTATAGTTCTGGAAGACAGGGCTGGAAACTACACCACCCCCACCGCCATCCCGCCCCCCACACCCCCATGGCTCAATATCTGTGTCTTCCCTTCCTAGGCCCTTTAGATTGCCCTGCCTCACCAGGGTCACTCTCTCTTACATCCCCTTTCCCTCCTCCTGACCTTGGACTGCTGTCCAGTCTCTGATTCCTATCTACAAGGAAAGCTGGTACTACTGAAGTACTGACTGACGAGCCAGTGAAAACAGGGCCATTATATCATGAGTGAAATCGGGAAATGAGTCCTAAACTTATTTAACTTATTAATAATGCCAATAAAGTATCAGATGAGCTAGATCACAACTGGTTCCTTGGATGAGGTTTGTATATAATCCATTCATTTAAGTGACCCTCTTAAGTTACCTGCTATTACTATGAAATTAGCTGTGTTTAAATGAATTTACTTTAATGCTAAGAGGTGCTTTTGTGTATTTTTTATGAAACACAATCATTCATTCCATTCTAAAAGTTTTGGTCAACCTTCTTCTCACTTTGTTTTTGGTTTTGGTATGTTGGGGATCTTTTTATATAAATGAAAGTTTACAAATCATATTGATTTTTCATTCAATCGTTCCTGGACGTTTTGTTTTACAACATTAATTACAATTGATCTGACAATGTTCTTGAGATAAAGAGAATAAATTAATAAGTGCACACTGCCGGTTTAAAAAGTATTGGTTAAGGATGCCTAGGACAGGCATTTTTCTTTCTAATTTAAGACTTTTGTTGTTTGAAAATTGGTAGGGTGAAGGGAAATGAAGGGTACAGTCAAGCTTTGATGAAATGCAGTCGTAAATGGCATTGACTAATTATAATTAAAGGTATGAAACAAAATGTATAAGAATGGATGAATGAAAACCAATTAAAAAGTTAAAAATAAAATAGCTAATAGTCATTGGTCTGACATTTAAAAAAAAAAAAGCATCCAGAAAAATTACAAAAGGAAAGTAGCATGATTACATTTGAAAGTGTTCCCGAATTGAAGTGGAGAGTAATACTACTTTCTGAAACACTTGGAAAAAAGAGCCTTTTATCCATGTTATCCAATAAAGAACATTTATCCCTGTTCATAATTTCTTCCCCTATGATCTCACTATTGCATTAGAACTCAATACACAGATATCTGTGTACATACTGCAACAGACCGATTCTCAAATTCAAACATCATTTCTGAAAGCAAATAGAATTCCTTCTCTGTGTGTCATTTGGGCCTTAAGGCCGACGCCTTTGAGAGAAGAGTCTTAAGTTATTGTTTAATCAACTTTTATTACCTGGCTCTGCCTGTCTCCAGGGTTAACAGAGCAGGAGACAGTGCAGCCTCACTGTGCCATGGAGAAAGCAGAGAAACAACCGAATCAATAAAGAAGAAGCATTTGGAGGTATCCCGGGTGATGCACCCAGTAGTGGCTACCCACAGAAGAAGATGGCAGAACGACTAAAAACCAGACAAATTACCTTTGGCATGATAACTGGGGTTGCAAGAAAACCTTACAGTTTGGGTTATAGGTCTTCCCTTCCCTGCTAGCCCCTCCTTCCCCACTGGATTCATTAAGTCCATTGTATGATATTCTATGCTCCTTGCAGAAAGAGGGAAGGAGGGAAGAGATAAATGAGGGCTCTTCACTTGCTTTGTCTCAGTCCCTATGGCAACAGGACGCCTCCAGCCTGGGAGGGCAAGCAGTCCAAACAGCTGTGTCTTCAAAGGCCCAGACTTTTCTGATAGTTAGACGTGAGTGCTTCAGTTCAACTCCAGTGTTGGATCTGTGGGGTTCGGTTCCCAAAGGACTGAAGAGTACTGTCTGCAGACCAGAGGACAGAGGCAGTTGAGTGCAGCTGGATGTGCTGGGATGTGGGTGGAAGAAGGAGCGAGAAGGGCAGAAAGGGCCAGCAGCGGGTAGAGTTGTGTTCCTCCCAGGGCCTTCCAGGCTAGGTCGCCAGTCTGCTCACTATTTGTCTGGCCTCACGGGTGGAGAACCATGGAAGGTGAAAGAAGGGCAGGGAACAGCGCGATGAGAAGCGAGATCGAGTGGAACCAGCTGCTACTGCAGCTCTAGACGCCCTCAGTGCCCTGAACGAGGGCAGAAAGGCCGCTGGGGCTGAACTGGCAGCGGCCCTGAGCTAGGGCAGCAGTCTCGGCGTCGGTGGCGGCTCCAGAGCCCCGCTCGTGTTCGGAGCAGGCCGGAGCCGGCTCCTTCTTGGCCTCGACGAGTTTGCGGGAGCGGGTGTAGGCCAGGATGAGGCCTCCCGCTAGGCAGGCGTAAAAGATCATGATGAGCAGGATGTAGAGATAGGCGTCCTCGCCCTTGGCGTTGGACGCCTCGCGCCTTACGAATGGGTCAGGCACGACCCCCATGCTCAGGCTCTGGCCCGGCCCGGCGCCCAGGTCGCTGGCATTACCCCTGTGGTACAGCTCGAGCAGCAGGCGGCTCAGAAGGGCGCGCAGCCACTGGCTCTCGCTGCAGTTCATGGCTGTCGGGGAGTGACAAGGTGGCTCCAGGACGCTGGTAACCTTTCCCTCTGCGCGAGGGAAGCGAGAGGGGAGCTGGGTGCAGACGCGGCGAGCGGCTCCCAGCTCTCTCAGGCAGGCGGTGCAGTGGCTGGGGGCGCCCTCTGGCCCGCGTCTCCTTATCCCCCTCCCTCGGCCCTCCTCCCCTTCCCCACCACGCCCCCTCCGGCCAGGCCGCTTCTTCCCAGGCTCCAAGCGCCAGGGAAAGGGGGACAGCTGGTGGAGGGAGAAGGAAGAGGAGGAGGACAAGGGGGGAGGATCGGGCGAAGGGGTCGGCAGGGGGTCTGAATGAATGCTCCAGGCCCCAGGCAGCAAAGGCTGGCAGGGGCAGCTTTGCTGAGGCCAAGCATGGGCCCTGCTTTGGCCACCTGCCCCAACAGGACTAGCTTTGGTCAAGATGCAACATCTAACACCTCCCCACACCCCAGTTCTCCCCAGATAGGCCCTGTTTAGGGGCACTTGATTCAAACTGGCAAAGTCTTTCCTTAGCTTTCCAGTAAGTTGGCAGCCTGGTCCTCTTGTCCACATGTTATGGCAGTTAAACCTGCAAACATTGCTTGGTCTACCTTTTTAGCTAGCCCTCATTCTCTGGTGGTAAGGAGTCACGCTGCCAACTCAAAGGTACATAGTTTGAATCCACCAGCTGCTCCATGGGAGAAAGATGGGCACTCTCCTTCAGAGTGATTTACAGCTCCTAAAGCCCACTGGAGGATCAACTATGAGTCCATTTCGACTGGGTGGTACACAACAACGACCACCATCAGATCTCCCTTTGACTCAAAAGCTAAAGTTAAATTTGGTGACTGGAATGAATTTGCCCTTGCTAGAAGACCATAGCACAAGTCTTCCATATAAGTTTAGAAAATAAACCAGCCTTCCTGGCTACTCTGGCTATCACATTTTGAGAGTGAGATTCATACCTCTTTAAATGTACATGTGTGAGAGAGAAAGAGAGAGAGATAAATTTAACATGAGATATGGCCTGTTTCTGGTTTTAAAATGTCTTCCCCAGAGTGAAGTTAAGTGGTACTTTTAAAAGGATAAAGGACATTAAAATAGTGTTCGACTACACTCTTAATGTTTCAAAGCCTGAAAAATGCCAGTTCTAGAGAATATGCACATTCCTCCTCCCAACCTATCCCTGGTTATTTAGGCACACACTTAGATCTCCAGTCTTGGCAATAGGTCTAGGCCTTGATAGCTTGTGGGACAAGTATTTTTTTTTAGTTGGGTTTTTTTTTAATTAAATAAAGTTTTTATTTTATACTGGTTTACTTACAAAGTTCATATACATCATTTTTCACGCCAGATCTTTCCCATTTCCTTTACCCAGCCTTCCCAATACTCATCAAATTGTGCAAGCCTATGATTACCTCCCTGGCCCATCTTTACCCCTCTGCTGCTACCCTACCCCTCTTGGATCCTTATAAACTTTTTACTCATTATTATTTTTTTGAGAAAATGTGTACTTTATTTGGGAACTCATTACATTTCTATTTCTACAATAATGGTTTTATACAGTATTTGTCTTGTCCTTTCGCCTGCCTTCTGTCCTTTCTAAGCGTCTCCGATCGAGTTTCATACAGCCTTGGAGGGTCCTCTGCTTTTTACTTGTGTGGGCAGGGGGTTTTAGATCTGCTGAGGTGTCATTTGTTCCCATTCCAAAGAAAGGTGACCCAACAGAGTGTGAAAACTATAGAACAATATCGTTGATTTCACATGCAAGCAATATTCTACTGAAGATTATCCAAAAACAACTGGAACAACACATCAGCAGAGAACTGCCAGAAGTCCAGGCTGGGTTTAGAAGGTGTCGTGGTACTAGAGATATTGTAGCTAATGTTAGATGGATCTTGGCTGAAAGCAGGGAGTACCAGAGGAATGTCTATCTGTGCTTCATTGTGCAAAGGCCTTTGACTGTGTGGACCATAACAAACTGTGGCTGATTCTGAGAAGAATGCGAATCTCAGAACACTTGATCGTGCTAATGTGAAACCTATACTTGAACCAAGAGGCAGTCATCAGAACAGAGCAAGGAAACACTGCATGGTTCAAAATTAGGAAGGGCATACGCCAGGGATGTGTCCTATCTCCATACCTTTTCAACCTTTATGCAGTACAGATCATCCGGGACGCTGGGCTCTATGAAGAGAAATGTGAAATCTGAATTATGCAGATGACACAACCCTGCTTGCTGAAACTGAGGAGGAGCTGAAGCGCTTGCTGCTGAGGGTCAAGGACTGCAGCCTTCAATATGGATTGAGGCTCAATGTCAAGAAGACAAAGATTCTCACCACTGGACCAATTGGCAGCATCAGGATGGATGGTGAAGAGATTGAGATTGTTCACAGCTTTAGTCTGCTTGGCTCCACAATCAACACTCTTGGCACCAGCAGCCAGGAAATGAAAAGACGTATTGAGATGGGAAAGTCTGCTGCTAGGGACCTCTCTAAAGTACTCAAGAGCAATGGTGTATCTCTGGAGACTAAGGTGAGTCTGGCACAGGCCATGGTCTTTGCAATCACTTGTTATGCGTCAGAGAGCTGGACAATGACCAGGGTGGATAGAAGGAGAATTGATGCTTTTGCGCTTTGGTGTTGGAGAAGAGTACTGAGGGTACCATGGACTGCTAAGAAAACAAACAGATTCATCTTGGAGAGGGTCAAACCGGGCTGCTCCTTGGAGGCAAGGATTCTGGGGCTTCATCTGACATACTTTGGTCATGTTGTAAGGAGAGACTGGTCCTTGAAATAAGACATCATGCTTGGGAGGGTGGAGGGACAGCACAGGAGGGGAAGGCCCTCTATGAGGTGGATTGATAAGGTGACTGGGGCAATTGGGATGAGTGTGTCGGAGACAATGAGATTGGCACAGGACAGAGCAGAGTTTAGAGCTGTTGTACATAGAGTCGCTATGAGATGGCACATAACAACAGTATTTGTCCTTATAGAACTAAGTTAGATCACTTAGCATAATGCTCTCCAGTCCCTCCTAAGTTGGTAGTGATTTACAAAATCATTGCTCCTGCATGCTGCCCAGTATCCCATCATGTAAATGTACCATACTTTTTTAACCCATTCAATTGTGGTTGAACATTTGAGCTATTTCCATGTTCTTGTGATGGTGAATACCACTGTACTTAACATAGGTTTACAAGTCTCTATTTGTGCCTCAGTTCTCATTTTCTCGGGCTATATTCCAAGCAGTGGAATGGCTAGATGGTATGGGATTTCTATGTTCAGCTTTTCAGACAAGGATATCCTATCAAAACTTTACAGAATCCTACAGGGCCTCCACAAGAAAAAGACTGATAACACAATTACAAAATGGTCAAAAGACATAGAAAGACTTTTTGCAGAGGAAGATATTTGAATGGCAAACAGACACCAGAAGAAATGCTCCAAATCACTGGCAATAAGAGAGATGCAAATCAAACTCACAATGAGTTATCATCTCACGCCAGTAGCAGTGGCAAAGTTTAACAGGGCAGCAAGTAAGAAATGTTGGAGACGATGTGGCAAGATAGGAACTTTTACACACTGTTGGTGGGATTGTAAAATGGTGCAATCTCACTGGAAAGCCACTGTTTCTTAGGAGGTATTTATTTCAGGGAAGAACAAGGAACTAAGACAAAAAGGGTCAGTTTAGTACAGAGTAAACTGGAAACAGACTGGACTTCATAAAAGGTTGATTTGCAATACTTTACTGCTGTAGAATTTTTTCTGATTCATAGTCACACTCCATCAGGTTTTCAAGATAAATCTTTATGAGGGGAAACTGCCTTATCTTCTCCCCCCACCCCTGTGGAGTAGCTGTTATCATTGTGTGCCATCATGTCAGAACTGAATCATATTTGACCTGCCGGCAGCACAGGCTGTAATTCTCAAGGGAGGAGATTGCCCATCCTTGTCCTGCAGCTAGTGATTCAAAATGACCTTTCCATTAGTGCCGCTGAGTTGAATATAACTCAAAGTGACCGTATGAACAACAAATCTGAACCCTGCGCCATCCTTATCATCCTTGACTTACCACAGACACTGCATCAAACCGTCTGGTTGAGGGTGTTCCTCTCTTTCACTGCCCCTCCACCTTTCCAAGAATAGCCTCTCCCAACAACATTCCCAAATCATGTGAGACAGAGCTTCACCATCCATGCTGCAACAGCCACTCTGGTTGCACTTTTCTCCATGACAAATGTTTGGTTTTTTGGCAGTCCTTGGGATATTCAGTACTCCTCTCCACCTCTACAACTCAAAGGTATCAATTCTTCCATCATCCTTGAATCAGACACATCTTATGTGTCAGGACTGGCTTTATATAGTTGTCACACAAAATTGTTATGAGGTGTTGTCATGGTTCTGACTCATAGTAGCCATACATATGTACAGCAGAATGGAACTCTGGCCAAGCCTGTGCTATCTTCACCAACCCTGTGTATCTTCACCATATCTGCTTTGCTTATGCCCATTGTTTCAGTCACTGTGCCAATCAGTCTCCTGGAGAGTCATCTTTCCTTTCAGTGAACCTCTATCAAGCACGATGTCCTTCTGATATTATGGTCATCGTATGTGAGATGAAATCTCACCATCCCTGCTTCTAAGGCTCAATCATGCACATCTTGAAAATAAAGCTACCTCTTCTAGGCTATTCAAAAGGCCATTCAGGGAGCTCTGGCAGCCTACTGGCAAGGAGCTATGCTGCCAATCCAAAGGCAGGCTGTTCGAATCCACCAGCTGTTCCCAGGAGAAAAGATGAGCAATCTTCTCTGAAAACCTGCTGGAGCGTCAGCTATGAGTTGTTTGACTCCATGGTACATAACAACATTTCTAGGCCAGGGGCCGTTCAGTCTTCAGGTATCATAGTGTCCCAGCCACACTTCAGCTTACTCAGGAGCAGCCATCTGTGTTTCAGGATGAGACTAGCACCTAACTATATCCAATATCTTAAAAAAAAAAAAACCCAAAACACCCCTTTTCAACAGCCTTTACAGAAATCTCAGATATATTTCACAAAACCCTGACTATGGTCTCTCTC